CCGAGTGATACGTCACTAACCTCATAACTTTTATTTTACTGTTATAATTTAGTCTGGGTTTACACTCAGTGCAGGCGTTCAGAGGATCAGAACAAATGAGCACAATCTTGTATATGGGAATAACACACTTGTCCATTTTCCCAGTGACAACAGACATTAAAATGGTCAGTAGCATCTCACACCTGAGCCAGCTGGAATCCCAGTCTGCACCACACACTTTAGAAGGCCTTCCACGTCAGCAACACACACAGAAGCGGTAATGGAGAGTGGGTGGGAACTCTAGTAGTGCCGAACTGGGTTTCAGTGTCCAGAGGCTGCAGAGCTGGAAACCTGAGCCTCTGTGTCAAGCAGGGAGAAGAGCACACCCTGTGCTCTGGGGAACCAGATGCAGAGTGGTGCTTCACCCCCAAAGTGGATCGCTAGGCAGAAGGTCATTGTTGTCCCAACAAATTGTCATTGGTCCCCTGCACCTGCTGGTGCTCCTGCACCTGGTCATGCCTGTCCCCCGCCAGTGTTTCTACCCACTACTGCCAGAGCACACTTTCTAAACTGCGTGTCTGATATTGTCACCCCATATCTGAAATCTTCTGCCCTGCTCCCCCAAGATAAAGGCCCAGTGCCTGCGAGGTTTACAGGGTCCCACTTAACCTACATTCCTCCCTCAGCTACCTCACCCATGGACTTCATCTTCTCCCCAGTCTTCACCCATGAACTCTCTACTCCAGCCATCAGGGCTTTCTTCCATTTCCTCAAAGGGAAGCCTTCCCTTCCGCACACTTGCTTCTGCTTGGAACACTAGCCTGTCTCCTTGCTGTAGTAAGTTTTGCTGACCCCTCCCACCACTTTTTGGGAGGCTGTTGCTTCTTCTTCCACTGCCCCCGTAGCACGGCACTTATCGCCGTGGTGACCGCTTCCATCTGCCGGCCTCTTCTCCCCACTAGAACATAAGCTCCCTGAGGTCAGGGACCGTATCCATCTTGTTCCTCATTAGCTCTCCAGCACTCTCAGAGCAAATACCACCGTAAGAAAATGGCAGGCTCTGATTGGTTCTGCATTTTAAAGGTATTTGGCAAAGTGGGTTGAAAGGGGAAATTAGCAGCACAGTGAAACCGTTATGGTTGAGCCTGAGAAGCGAAGGCTGAGTGAACTACCTGGGACTCCTGTTTTTCCTGTGGCCTCTTGGATGCCTGAGGGAACCATCTGTGCTCCTACAGACCAAGCCCCCAGGTGTGTGCGTGCCCATAAGGGACTAATTCTACTTGACCTCGGCAGTGATTTGACCCTGGACCGCCTTGTACTGTCAGCAGACACAGATGACCAAAATGTTCGGTGTCCTTTTGAGGTGGATTTGCACAAGGTTGCAATGCCTTCCAATACTTACACGACTTACATACTGTGATTTTTGAACAATGGAAAGATGGTACTTCCACATCAAGTCATGGAAAAAGGTATTCACACAGTTTGTTTGTTTTCTTAAAGCATTGTACATCCTGCCAAAAATATTAATTAACCGCAGTGCTTTCAGTGTGTTCGTCAGTTTTGGCATTTATCCGTATTTGGAGAAAAATTAAAGCTGGAGTTGAATTGAATCTTTGTCTTTTAGAAGCGGCTATTCATGACCAACTCTATTAGAATTATGTTTATTTTGAGGGTTTTAGGTGATTAAAAAGATTTTTCAATCTAGTTTTAATGGCGTTGTCTCCTTTTTTAAAAACTTTTGCATGATATAGAGCAAGTTTGTTTTGTTAACTGGGACAAATCAGGTGGTTATTTGTCAGTTAGTCTGAGAGCTAATATGAAGCTGGTATTTGGATATAATTCAGTTCCATTAGCACAGAGTTAGAATTCTGTGATACAGGGACTATTATCCTGGCAGTTGTAAGGGATTTTTGTGCAAGGAAGCAGGTCTGACAAAGAGGGCACTGTGCACGCTCCATCTGTAACTGAGCACTTTCACACTGCAATTTAGGAAGTGTGCAGTTCAGGAAATTGCTGGCTTTGGCTGGAGCATACTTTAACTGCAAGGAAAATTTTATTCGTCACTCAAGTAATTGGCAGTTTTAATACCTTGTTCATAATTACTTAATAAACAAACGAACATATAAACCAAAGATTGTATGGCCTGTTATCTAACTCGTAGCCTTATTTGACCAACGTGATAGACACCTGTGGGTCTCCCTCTCTCTCCCACAAAAAACCAGTTTGTTCAATTTATTGCAAAAATCTCTAGCTGAGCACTTTCTTTGTGTTGCTAAATGTTGAGTGTGGCTGTACAAGCCTCAGACAGCCTGGGGGCCACAACCAGATGCAGAGTTTGATGGGAGGCAGTGACTAGGCACAGGGGAGGGCATTGGAGAGAGGGGAGCATTTCAGGGTTACTCTGCTGTTTGTGGGAGGACATCCTGGTAATGCAAACATTTGGGTTATGTGTTTAAGAGAGCATTTTTGTCCCCTAAAGTGTGGTTTTGTTTAACCCACACACCCTGACCCTAAGGCCCCGTGGCTTCTCTCTTGGACTAAATCCATCTCCGGGATCTAGAAACTGACTAATTGTCTCGCTTGCATTACCCTGTACCTCACAACTAGATCAAGGAGTTTATACACTGGCAAATCCAGATGTGGGAAATGGTCAAAATCAGAGGTCATGGCTGACTTGACTCTAAACAAAGTCTGTAAGACTTTATGGGAGACTAAGGGGTTTGATATTTGTTACTTGTAAATAGTACTGTTAAATCCCCTCCCCCCCTTTTTTTTAACCTTACTGTAATCACAAATTCAGCTTTTAAGATATATCACCTATGCCTGTTACCTTGTATAGGATAACTTCAGAATGTAGAGTTAGATTCCCTGATGACTTGGATCAAAACACATGATTCCCTGCAGTCCTTAAAAATAACATATTGGAGGATTTTAACAATGTTTTGAGAAGTTTTGTTTGTTGTTTAAATAGAAAAGGTCCAACCTGTTTTCTCCCTTTATTGTTCGTTCTTGTGGGGAAGTCAGCACCTGACATTGGCACGTATTCAGGAAGTTGGTCTTCTCCTCTGGTGGATGGCAAACATATGCACACCCCTGGGTTGTCTTCCTGGGGTGCAAGCAAGACTGGGGAGACCCTATTTCCAGGGCATCCTTAGCGTTGGCATGGTGATGGCTCCATGAGCCAGTGTTGATTCCCACATTAGTTTGAAACCAGAAGTTCAGCATTTCTGCAAGGGTGAGAAGTTGTGGCCCTTTCTGGGGGTGCATCTCCAATAAGAACTTAATTGCCAAAATATATTTGACAGTGTATTCTATGAAACAAGCCTTCAGCAATTGCTTTGGGACCAATATGCCTTCGTAGGTTAAAAGCTCTAGTTTCCTAATTTTACAATTATCTATAATTACTAGAGAGACATTTCTGTGATTAAATGGCATACTATATGAACAATGCTTAGCCTCAGCTTGACATTTGAGGTGTTCTCAACGTTCTTAGGTTTCATATGCAGTCCAGGACAGAGGGGTAGAGACCTATCCCCCTACTTCAGAGGAGTTCAGAGTATGGCAGAGAAGACCAGCAGCGTGAAAGTGCTGTGTCAGAACGCAGCATAGGATTTTTGTGAAAAATACACGAGGTACTCTTAACTCAAGGACCTTCTGAGATGGTGAGAGGCCTGTGTGTTATAATGAAACTCTCAAAGCACTATAGAAATACGGTATTGGTAGAAAGACACACACATGAGATGTATTTCCTAAGTTTTCTCATTAAATGAGGCTTACCCATAGACTGTGTATAAAAACAGCAGTGTGTGACATATCACGTATAGAGTTCTGCCTAGAGCCTTCAGGTTGTTTCATCGTTCCATGGGTTTGTAAAGAGACCTTCTTTGGAAGTGGACTTTGTTTTCCTCCTGGCCTTGCCACGTTGACATGTTGTTTTCCCCTGCCAAATGATGGTCTAAAAAGTCCAGGCTCCCTGATCTAATATGACAAATAAGATGGCTTGCACATCAGTTTGATTCCTGTTTTCTCGCAAGATTGTCATTTAGTGTTGAATTTCCCCTTGAAAGCTGTTGTACTGTTGACCTTTTAAGAGATTTGACTTGGCCTCTTTTGTTTTGTTTTGTTTTTCATCTGTGGTGTAGTATAGGGCTCACCAATGGAACTTTCAGTGATGAAATGTTCTGTATGTGCACTGACCCATTTGACAGCCACCAAGCACATGTGGGTGTTGAGAACCTGAAATGTGGCTACTGTGATTAAGGAACTGAATTTTAACCTTTAATTTTAATTTTTAAAGTGCTACCTGTGGCTACCATATTGGTCATCATGGTCTGGTGTTTAAGACTGTTAATGTCAAACTGTATTAATCTAATTAAATAGAGATTATTTAGACTGGTGTGCTTTTATGTAATAACCTTTATAATATTCAAAGCCCTGGAGCATATCCACTGGTTTCGAAGACTATGGCAATACCCTGAAACTTGCTATTTCTTGAAGAGAGAGCTCTCTCGCACGGCTTAAGAAAAGAAAAAACCCAATCTGATGAGTATTTTAAGTTCGTTGGTACCTGTCATATGGGTACTGTTCAGGAGAAGAAGTAGAAATAGATTAGGAATCAAGAAAAAGAATAGGGAACTAACACATCAGTGCCTGGAATACCAACTCAGTGTTAGTCAATTTATATACCATTTAATAAAATGATAAGGAAGATGGACTGGTGACCATAAAAAAAAAAAAAAAGATAAAAATCAGACGGTTTTTAAGTGCTTAGCGTTTGGATAACCACAGCTGTTAAACACACCCAGATTTATATGGGATTGCTTTCATACATTCTAATATGATTTACTATTTAAGGTGAAATTAAAGTGACAAAAATTGCTGTTTAACTTCTAAAAGTACAGTTTTAGAACTGTAGTTTTCCATTATTTCTGAAGAACAAATTAGGAATAGAAAATATTTCTCACCTTTCAGATTGTTGTATTATTATTAACCCTGTCACCTGTGCCATCCTTAAATTCCAGAGCTGGAAACAGAATTGTTGAAATATTACCTGAACATCTGAAACAATTTCAGTCCCTCGAAACTTTGGACCTGAGCAGCAATAATATTACAGAGCTTAAAACTCCCCTTCTGCCTCTACAGCTCAAATATCTGTAAGTCAAGTCTTCTTTAACAAAAATACTCACCTATGATGAAAATACCATGTCATAATAATAAAAAAAAATCAACTTTAAGATGTAACAAAATCTGCCTTTTTCTTTAACTGCTGGTTATCAATAACATAACTTTCTTACTGATGTGTAATTTACCGTAAACCCAAATAACCACAGTCTTTATTTTGTTGTTGCACTTTTCGGATTACAAAAAATTAGGCATCCTTTGTTAGAAAAACCATGTGGAATTAAAAGTGCCTCTTTAAAAAATTAAACCACTCCGTTTCATTAATAAGTGAATTTTCTAAAAGTTGGATAAGCGTCTGTAACAAATTCTCACACCTTTCAAGTACTCCAGTCACCCTTTCCTTAGCAGTACGCGTGAATCGTAGTCAACGTTGGTCCACAAGGACCCAAAGACTTAATTTTTTAGTGCCCATTGATACAAATGATGGTTAGGTCCTCTGGAGATTATAACACAGAGAATGTATGTGTTTTAACTTTCCAAAGAGCCAGAAGGAGAAGCTCATCTTCACCCTTTTAACAGGTATCTCAACAGCAACCGAGTCACTTTAATGGAACCCGGGTATTTTGACCATCTGGCCAGCACGCTCCTGGTGTTGAAACTGAACAGGAACCGCATCTCAGCTATCCCACCGAAGATGTTTAAACTGCCCCGACTGCAGCACCTGTAAGTAAGATGTTCTCCTAGACAGTGTTTCTTCATCTCCTCTAAACCCTTGGGGTCTGTTGCCTAAAATCCACAACGTGACCGAAGGAGTTTAGAAGCAAGGTGTGGCTCTCTTCCCTGTGAGAACTAGAGTGGCCGAACTTCTGAATCGGAAAGAGCCTTCACAGTCACCTAGTGCAAACTCCTGCCTGACGGGGCAGGTTCGATTGGTACTGAAGGAATGAACAGTGTCATCATTGAACGATCTCCATACAAAGGCATCATTGTGGCACTGGCGAAATCATGGTGACGCCCAACAGCTGCGGTTCATGAAAATAACACCGGCAGCTCCAGGAGGCTCTCATAGCTTAAGTGGCTGCAAAGAGCTGTCTCGTTAATAGTGGTGGAATGATCTGTGAACAGGCTCCTACGATATAGTGGTTTTCAACCTCGGCTTCACATTATAGGCACTGGGGAGCTTTTAAAAATCCCAATGTCCAGGCCACACCCTAGACCAATTCTATGGGAACCTCTGGGGGTAAGATCCAGGCTTCGGTAATTTTTAAAACTCTCCAGGCAATTTCAGTGTGCACCCAAGGTTGAAAATGACTGCCTTGAAGAGAAAGCATTAAACAGAAAAAGAACCGTGAAAGAGAGAGTAACCAACTTTTGTAAGCAGAATAAGCCCTGCCCCTGAATAGACTTCATGTTTTAACATAATATTCAGTATACTCCCTCTGGATAATCTAAAAACAAATACACTGAGTTGATAAGCATTTTAGAAAGTAAAGCGTAGTCTAGTTTCAATATTTCACTATTCCAAAAATATATCACACATTTCAGGAGGAAATTCACTCCCTGCTAATAAATCCAAATTCTTCTCAATAAAAATGTTTAGAAATTTAAAACCTTCTATGTAATTTAATACGGGCTGGTTTAACTATATTGTAGTAATGTCACATTTTATTACCACCTCCAGAATTTTGTCATACAAGCTGTTTAACTGTTCTATCCAATGCAGTGAACTGAACCGGAACAAGATTAAAAACGTAGATGGGCTCACATTCCAAGGGCTCGGTGCTCTGAAGTCTCTGAAAATGCAAAGAAATGGAGTAACAAAACTTATGGATGGAGCTTTTTGGGGGCTGAGCAACATGGAGATCTTGTAAGTGTGGCTTATCACAATTCCTGCTTCGGTAGTATGATCGTGGAGTGCTCGGTGAACATGCACTAGCTTTATTTGAAATCCTATGTTAAAATCTCATAATTTACAATCTTATAATTTAATACTCGGTTTTGTTTCAGGTAACATGACCAAGAATTTATAAGCCATGGTATTTTTTGCTGAGGTCTTTATGTAGCAAAAGCTAAACATCTTGTAACAATAGGAATATGTAATAGGTTGTAATCATATGTCTCCTTTGAAGAGACTAGATAATGAACTTTTGATCCTGCTTTTGATTCTTATTGTAAATGTAGGCAGCTGGACCATAACAACCTAACAGAGATTACCAAAGGCTGGCTTTACGGCTTGCTGATGCTGCAGGAACTTCATCTCAGCCAAAATGCCATCAACAGGATCAGCCCTGATGCCTGGGAGTTCTGCCAGAAACTCAGTGAGCTGTGAGTTGCCTTTTATTCTCCTCAGGTTCGAAAGCAGGGATCATGCCAGAGCATGAGCTTCTTACCACTGATCTGTGAAATTTTCATAACAAAGTTTCCAAGGTGACAGCTTTTTTCACATGCAACCTAGTCATATTTTTGTTGTGATAAGTTGAAGCCAACTGTGCTACTTGAGTTCTAGGGCACATGGGCTAAATCAGTGATGGTTATTTTCAAATAAAGAGAATTTTTTTAATTACTAGTATTAGAAATAATGTTTACCTGAGTATTATGAAGAAGGCAGAGTGTTAAAATAAGGCTTATTGTGGTTACATATATTACCTGTTGTTTGAAAACAAATCATTGTGTTGAATAGGAAAATAAAGGCTATTATTTGTTTTTGATTTTCGTTTTTTGTTTTTACAGGGACCTAACTTTCAATCACTTGTCGAGGTTGGATGATTCAAGCTTCCTGGGCCTAAGCTTACTAAATACACTGCACATTGGGAATAACAAAGTCAGCTACATTGCTGATTGTGCCTTCCGGGGGCTTTCCAGTTTAAAGACTTTGTAAGTACACATTTTGTTCTCCATACATGAACCTAATTGGTTCCTAAACGTGCCCACTTTTCTCCAAGCAGATTTCCTTTGTTGTGAAGGAAATATGTACAGACTCAGAAAGTAGTGTCTTAATCTTTCCCAGATCAGTTTGATTAGAATCAGTCCATTTCATCCATATGTGTTTCTTAGAGGGATTAAAAAGGACAATGATCAGATTGGTTTGGTGATTACACTTAGCCTTCTCAGGATCTCCAGGAAGTTGGTAACTGCTCAAAAGGGAAACGATTTCAAATCCACTGATTTTTCTTTATAAAAATGCAGATTAAGTAAAAGTACACAGAACATAAAAGATATACAAAGGGCAGCAAAAGAAGATGCCTGTTTATCATATCCAGACTTGATCTCCGTCCTAAGAGGAAGAAGACAGAGTTAGATTAATTGACCTTTGAAGAATCTCTGAAATGTTCATTTTAATGTTGTGCAACGGGCTTTTTGTTTTTGCACTGTCAGAAACTTTTGCTCTGTTCACTATTTGAAGCATTACATAATTGAAAGACAAGCTGTGTGCTTTGGCCAGCTCCTACTTGTGTGGTTGGAGCAGTGGTTTTTAAAGTTTAATGTATTTTTCAGATTGTTCAGGTCTTTCAGAATTGAGTCATCTTGATAGAGGAATTAATGGGACAGAATCAACTGTCCTGATTTGGGGCAAAAACTTAGTGTTGGGAGAGGGAAGGCGTCTTCTATTGTTTTGAAACGGGTGGAGATGATGTGGGGGATTATGAGGAATTTATTACGAATTACATGCCACCTGGGTGGCAATCTTAGCTTTCTGAGCATCTCTTTAAGGAGAATGCTTATATCTTTTGTTAAGCGCCTGGTACCAGTTTCAGTAACATTTCTTCTTATAATTAGGGATCTGAAGAACAATGAAATTTCTTGGACTATTGAAGACATGAACGGTGCTTTCTCTGGGCTTGACAAACTGAGGCGGCTGTGAGTAGGATTTGCTTCATGGTTGCCTCCCTGTCTGACCTACACCCATTGAAGTCCATTCTGCAGGCTGAGATTTGAGAGAGTTTAGAACTAGAGGCTGAATCTGGTCGCTTCCCTTGGTCATCTCCCCAGATCAGTGTTGTTATACAAGATGGGTATTAATTAGCTTTTCTTCCTTGGTATGGCGGTTTTCTTCAACACTTTGGTGAGTTGTGACTTCTTTTAATATCCAGCCCAGAATGTTAAATTGTTTCAAGTGCTTAGAATCTTGGGATTATCCTTGTGTGGAAGGACACTCCTGATCTCACCATTTTGGAACTTTCAGCGTTGCATTCTGGTCACAGAGTCTGTAAGTGGCAAGCCCCAGTGCCCACTGGTAACACTGCAGTAGGCTCCAGGCAGTACAGGCAGAAAGCTGCTTCTGTTCACCTTACAGTGGCCCTGTCCGTGGCCAGACCCTGTGTCTTAAGTTTTCAAATCGAGTTCCATATAGCCCTAAACTTCCGTGGATGATGAAACTGTCTATGGGGAGGGAGCGTAAGGAGAAGACCTCCACTATTGTCTGTTTTACTAATTACAGTTCTGAGACCATTTACCTGGAAGGAAGTTTCTACCTCCTCCTAAGAAGACTTTGAAAATCACGTCTTTAGTTTAACCGCCGGACTAACTTACTGAATACCTATATTTGCTGGTTCTCTGTTGAATGCTTTGAGACCATGCTGAATTATATTACTGAAATAGATGGCATGAATACGTTTGTACAGGGTATATCATTTAATTGAAGAAAATAGAATTGTTCACAATGATTTTTTTTCCCCTATTGATTTTAAAAGAAATTCTTTTGATGAGAATTCCACCCCCAAATGGAGCTTTAACTCTTCCATTGTAACTTTCTTCCCCCCCCCTCAGAATACTCCAGGGAAACCGGATTCGATCTATTACCAAAAAAGCCTTTACCGGTTTGGACGCATTAGAACATCTGTGAGTGACTGGAATTTCGTTACCCTAAAGGAGCCTAAGATGGTTATCTATCTATGTGTCATGAAAGATAAACTAGAATCTAATTTTGTTGGCATTCTCTCTGTACCATAAAGTATATTTACACATCTGCTTATTCTCTACCAGTTTATTTATGTATCTATATGAAAGTATATAGGTAAACATTTTCCTTTGCATTTGAGGACATCACTATACATTATTGGGTTTTCTTTGAGTTAGTTATTTTTCTTAAGTAGTGATATATGTAATTTTCAAAAACCTACCATTTATTGTGCACTTACTATACATCAGGCATTATGCCAGGTATTTATATATAGTCTCATTTAATCCTCATACGAAAATTATCCAGTAGCTCCTGTTACCTTTACTTTTAAGAAGTGGAAGTTTTGAGTATCCATTGATTCTGCTGAACAGTTAAGATGGTGACTTGCATTTTAAAGATTAAAAAAGCAATTTCCCATGGTCCTTAGGGGTGACATTAGGAGGGTAGTGACACTACTTTGAGACTTCTATGAGTCATTGCTGTTGTTTAATTATAAAACATAAAACCTGTTTTTCCACCCTTGTTCTTTCTCTTACTCGGTTCTGCTACCAGCACATCGGCTCGCAGTTGCCCGAGGCAGGACTCACACCAGGGCTGCCTCTACTGTCCGTGTGTGTCCTTGTGCCACACTAGCTCTTGTCTTCGTAGCCTCTGCGCCACCCCCTCACACGTTTTTGAAATGACAGTTAGGGACGCAGGTATATTTCCACCCACTAGGAGGGCAAGCTAGCCAACCTTGATAGGAGCCAAAACCTGCATGAGCACGCAACCAACCAGCTTCTCAAAACCATGGGGTTATTTCCACTTGTACAGAAAAAGTACAAAGTGATGTAAAGTATCTCCACTCTAGTAGGGCATGTTTATAGCCAAAAGTTTTAATATCTATTAACTTGGACAGAAGAAGTTCGGAACACATTTGGGCAAACCCACATTTGCACTGTGTGTTGAGAGGGACGGTTTCGCCGTTGTCTGTGACCACCTTGTTGTCTTCTGACTCATTTATTCGTTTGAGGGCGGTTTGGATTGCTAGTCATGCTGACAGAAGCAATTCAGGCTGGAGTCAGATGATTCCGCAAAGCAGAATTTGGAAGGGCGGACCAGTGTTGCTGGACTTCTTGAAACAAATTATTTTCAAAGGGAAACTAGCCAAAGGGTTTGTCATCTGACCCATTCCCTTTCTGGGAAAGTGGAATTAGTGGATCATTGGAGTATTAACCTCTGCTGCGGTTTTTTAAACCGTCTTGACTCCCCCAGCCTCTCTCTCTGCCCGTGTCTGGTACCTTTGTCCTCTGTTACCCTTCGTCTCATTCAAAATCCTTTATGTATACTCTGACCCCATAAAGAAAAACAGAGTAGTAACCATTGTGGAGAGTGCTTTAATTCAAACTGCCTGTAAGCACTAGTTAAAAATAAAGTCAGCCTAGAATATTCTCTGGTTTTATAAATGTCCTACCCAGAGTGTGTTTTAGCGAGTACATCTTGTCTGAAGGCCTTACTCTCTCTACGGGTGAGTTGCGTGTGGCAGAATGGGCTCCTGACCAAGAGCGTAGGTTTTGAAATGGAAAATAATTGAGTTCACATCTTCCCCTTTCATGGTGAACGAGGTAGTAAAACCATATTCTTTTGGGTTGCTATGAGGAGTAAATGTAATACTATGTAAATGTGTAAATCATTTAACGCAGTGCATGTCATAGAAAGTATTTTATACATGATGGGTTTTTTAAAAAGCGTAACTATGAGAAATTTTACTTGTGTATTTAAAAGTTACTATTGGTTACTAACTTGGATATTGAGAAACACAACAAAATAATACGGCAGAACAAACCATAAAACTATAAAAAAAAATACAGAACAGCTTAGGCCTCCATGAGTCAAATCACCTGGACATGATGATATAAAGCAAATCTTTTTAACTATAACAGAACCTGCCTCTGATACAAATATTCGTATTCTTTGATCCAAGCTTCCTAATGGGTTCTTCTGGAGTTGCCCAGTTGGTGCATTTCAGCACATGGAGTAGGTTGTTGAATGGGGTGGACAGTGTGGGCCCAGCTTTTGCCTGAGGCAGGCAGTGACCATGATTCCCTCTAATGTATTCAATTTGGTTGTTTTCAGAGATCTGAGTGACAACGCAATCATGTCATTACAAGGCAATGCATTTTCACAAATGAAGAAACTTCAGCAATTGTAAGCTTTCCTTTTCTTTCCAAGAGTTTCAAATGAAACGTGGTGTCAGGGAAGCCGTCAGGGGGCATGTCAGCCGAGATCACGTGTCTATAAATCGTATCTGTTGCGTTCTTAGCATTACTTAATTTTCATACCAGAAAGCAAAGGGAGTTGGTGATTTGTTCCTTTTGTTGAGAAGTTTCTTTTTGTTTCTGTTATGAATTTGCAATTTAAATTTGTGGGACCTGATCATGATAGCAAGCCTTCAGGAGTGAGGTGTTTTCAATATATCAGCATTTCTCCCTCATAGTAGGTCAGTAAGAAAAACAACATGGTGCTAATACATTTCGTACATTTTAAGATGGACTAGAGAATATTTATTGCATGGGGTGTGTGTGTATTTTGTTTCCACATTCATTGCTTTGTTAATATTTACTTGAGTTAGTTTACTCGTAGAATCTGCATTTCATATAAAACAAATTGAACGTAATTACTCTCCTCAGGCATTTAAATACATCAAGCCTTTTGTGCGATTGCCAACTAAAATGGCTCCCACAGTGGGTGGCAGAGAACAACTTTCAGAGCTTTGTAAATGCCAGTTGTGCCCATCCTCAGCTGCTAAAAGGAAGAAGTATTTTTGCTGTTAGCCCAGATGGCTTTGTGTGTGGTGAGTGTAACTGTTGCCTCTGCCTTCATTCTTTTTTTCCCTCCAATGAATGGTCTTGAATAAGCTTATGTTCTCTTAATGAAGCTTTTATATCTGCTGAGGTAGATGAAAATGGATCTATAGCGTGCTGATGATTTTAATGTTACAGATGAGAAAGAGTTTCCTTAAATGTCTTTGTTTGGACATCAGGGGGTTGGGTGGAACGCGAGGACCTTAGATCTTAGGAGAACTGATGGGCAGTTGCAACCCCACCTCCTCCCTAAATCTCAGTATCTGCGTCTATGAAGTGGGAAGTCTGCTGACTGGCTTGTGGAGACACTGAACTAACCCGTATCAATGCTGCATGTTGGGGTACAGGGAGAAAGTTATCAGCGTGATTTACAGGCTGCTAAAAATTTTGCTCCTAGTGGTTAAAGCATTACATGTAAGAGAAAGTTTGAATTTGTTATCAGTCAGCGTAAGGTCCATTGTTTTAGCGTCTAAGAATCTCAGCGCTAGAAATTTCAAACCTCACGTAGCTAGTCAGCAGATCCAGATCGAAACCCCAGGTTCTCCTCTTCCTAGTGCAGGCTTCTGTGGACTACACTACACTGCTGTTTACTCTTCACTGCCATGGAGACCTTTGTAAAAATAAATGTGCATATAGAACACAAAATCAAAGTTAGCTTAAATTTTAGCATGTGTGTTAAGATATTACAGAACCTAATTTTACGTTGGCCTTTAAAAATTTATTTGAAACTGCTTTGCCTACGATTGTTTAGTCAAGTACAAGAAAAATACTTTTTTTTTAGGTTGCAGCATTAAACAGTGCCAACAGTTTCTGGAAATAAAATGTCTGATGGAGCTTTTGGATCTAAATAAGCTTTTGGCATTTGTCTAGAAGGGCCTGAGCCATGCCTTTCCCATGGTGCTTATTTCGCAGTTCTCTAGTCCCAAGATACGAACTCTATTATATGGGGACGTGTATATGGTATCTTTAGATTTTTCTTTCAGTCCCTCCATTGTGAATCTAAACATTGATTTATCAGATGAGAATTCTAGAATAATCATACAGAAGAAAAAACCATCTTGATGACAACATGTTATTGGAAGTGAGCAGCATTGGAGTTTCCAGAGCATTCCCAAAGCCCGTTCGTTCAGACGCATGCATGCGCGCACGCACACACACAGGCATGCGAGTGTCCTTTTTCCAGAGCACCCAGATAATACATTTTGGTAGATGTAAGCTGTTTCCTTTTGGGTTTAGACCATCTCCAAGAAACTGCAGTTCAAAAAAGGTAACTTCTCCGAAAAGTCACAGAGAACTAAAAATAACCGTTAGGAATGAAAGAGTTGCCCAGCTCTAATTATCATGCAGCTCTGACAGTGCCTGATTGATGGTCCACCCGCAACCCCATGCTGAAGCCAGGGTCTCAACAGGGAGTTTGAGAGATGGTTTTTCTTTTGCTGAGGACTGTTTCAACTCTATCTAAAAAATTACTGCTCTTTAATATGGGTTCTGTTTTTGGTAAATGGGGTGTTAATTGCTGTCTTTAGTGATATTGATTTCTTAATTTTTCTGCTGCTTATTTGTGGGTAACATGGGAAAAATTGCACTTCCTACCGGTAGCGTTTAAGGATGATGCATGAGCCTAAAAGTTTCTTAGCTGATTTTTTCTTGTGTTTATATTTTAAAAAGCATAAGGGGCCTAGGATAAACTATAAACTAATTTGTTCACTTCAAATAGAGATCGACACCTATTTATCAATCATTAACTGAGATGAGACTATTATTTTTGAATATAAACACTGTCCCAGGCCATCATTTCAACATGAGGACTGTTAGCCCATCTATGAAACATACACAAAGGGTAAAACCTAAGCCCTCACTTGTTTTGAGTTTCTTGATATTAAAAACTGAGTAGTGTTTGGACTCCTAGGCCTTAAAATTGTCCTGTTTCCCCCTCTCCATCTTGAACAGATGATTTTCCTAAACCCCAGATCACTGTCCAGCCAGAAACACAGTCGGCAATAAAAGGTTCCAATTTGAGTTTTATCTGCTCAGCCGCCAGCAGCAGCGACTCCCCGATGACTTTTGCTTGGAAAAAAGACAATGAACTGCTGCATGATGCCGAAATGGAAAACTATGCACACCTGCGGGCCCAAGGTGGCGAGGTGATGGAGTATACTACCATTCTCCGGCTCCGCAACGTGGAATTTACCAGTGAAGGGAAATATCAGTGTGTCATCTCCAATCACTTCGGTTCATCCTACTCTGTCAAAGCCAAGCTTACAGTAAACAGTATGTGATCTAACTTTTCCATTTGCATTTAAAGACACCTTTTAGGTTTGGTTTTCTCTCTTTCTCTTATTCCTAACTCATCTTCTGTTCACAGCTACCCACCTCATCCTCCCTTTCTCTGCCTCTCTCTCCACAAAACTAAGATTCTTGGTATCTACGTGAGCAGTTGCTTGCATTTAGGACCCCATCGTGGCGGGTAGCACAGAGATGAGCCACCCATGGGTTGTGCTCTTCGGGAGTTCACAATATATTAGTCGGATGTGGGAGGCCGTGAAGCATTCCAGCACACCACCTTTAATTCAGAGATCTGGGTTTGATTCCTGCCACTCCTGCTTATAGCTGTGTGACTCTTATCAAGTTACTTAACCTTCATGTGCCTCCATTTCCACATCTATCTATTAGGAACAATAGTACCTACCTTACAGAGATATGATAATTAGATAAAATAATTGGTGTAAAGGACTTAGCCTGGAATACAGTGAATGCTCACCCAATGCAATAAGTATTAGCTGCTGTTAATAAAAATATGTAATTGTTTGCTCTGTGTGACCCAAATACATTCTTTTATGACAGGAACCTCACCACTGTATTATTTAATCATTTGTACCTTCCATGGTAGAAGATTCCTGTATATGATTCATTAATGCATTCATTTTATAAATGATTGCTGAGGTCTGATGCATAGAACAATTTTGAGTTTAAAATTGTAGGACAAAACACAGATCTAAAGTCATAGAATGTTAGAGCCAGGAGGGACTTAAAAAAAAATATGATGATGATGATGATGATGAAGTGAGTGGTCAGGGTACAAAGAGATTAATTGATTTGCCCAAGATCTCACAGATAATTACTGAGGAAACTAAAAAGTAACTGGAAAATAGGAGAAAGACCTTCAGTCTGTACAGGAGGTGACCTGTGTCTCGGCCTGACTTCATCATTTCTGTACCTGTGTGTAACCTTGAGGGGATCTCTTCATCTCAACTTCAGATTCCTTGTCTTGCAATCAGAAATAACCCCAGCCTGACCTATGGCAGGGGCATTTGTAAGTATATATTAAAAAAAAACAAAAAACAAAAACAATGAAAATGAACCTCTAGAACTCTATAGTGCTAATGCCCACATTCTTTCTCTGATTTCAGTGCTCCCTTCCTTCACCAAGACCCCCATGGACCTTACCATCCGCGCCGGGGCCATGGCGCGCTTGGAGTGCGCTGCCCTGGGACATCCAGCCCCGCAGATAGCCTGGCAAAAGGATGGGGGCACAGACTTCCCCGCCGCGAGGGAGAGACGCATGCATGTTATGCCTGAGGATGATGTGTTCTTTATCGTGGATGTGAAGATCGAGGACATCGGGGTTTATAGCTGCACAGCTCAGAACAGTGCAGGAAGCATTTCTGCAAATGCAACTCTGACTGTCCTAGGTGAGTGGCTACTGTCTGATTCTGTGATAGAAATTAAAGATACTAGCTCACCCAAAGGCCCTAAGTGTCAGGAGTTGTAAGGGTGAGAGGTAATCCATAGGACACTGCCCTTCCCTAGAGAGAACAGAGGGCTTCTCAGGAGCTTTGAAGTCGGGAGTGCATTACCTCTTTAAGTCTGTGGCCGGTGAGATGAATCCGCTTCCTCTTTTCCAAGGGGCAGGGAAAAGTAAATGCTTTGTTGCCTCCCCCTTCCTCTACTCTGCTACCAGTAGTCTTCACACTATAAAACCCATACAAGAATCTAAAACATGCGAGCAGATTGGGAAAAATCTACTCTTTTCTTGGCCTACCCTTCCATTCAGGAAATCAGAGTTTGTCTTTTATCTTTTGCCCGAACAGGAGCTTTTTAAAAAATGTGAACATGTTCATCATATGTGTATCTTTGGAAGAGTTGAGCAAAGTAACCTATGAACACCAAATTAATCAAAGTACTTTCAGAATTTATGTATAGGTTTGGTCATCTAGCACTAGAAAGTTTCCCTTTAAAAATTTAAACATTCTGACTTTTTTTTATCCATCAGCATACCCCCATGCTTGAAATTACTTTTATACATTTTCTATTTCTAAGAAATGTCTAGAATTTTTGCATTGCCCCTCTTCCACCATTCCCAATCTTGTCAAGAGTGAGAGAGATTGAGGTTTAAAAAACAGTAAACCTTATCCTTAGCAGGTGTTACAACAAATGACAGGCAAATAATGAAATGAAATTCTGAATGTTGTATGCATGTTTGGGCTTATAGAAGCATACACATGAAGCCGTGGAAGAATACGATGTTGGGTTCCAATTTTAGTAAATTCAAGTGGTAGGTCTTACCATATGCAGAACCTAATTTCATTCAGGAGATTCAGGACATAACTTGTCATTTCAGAAACACCATCATTTTTGCGGCCCCTGTTGGACCGAACCGTAACCAAGGGAGAAACAGCTGTCCTGCAGTGCATCGCTGGAGGCAGCCCTCCTCCCAGATTGAACTGGACCAAGGATGACAGCCCCTTGGTGGTCACCGAAAGGCACTTTTTTGCAGCAGGCAATCAGCTGCTGATCATTGTGGACTCTGATGTCAGTGATGCCGGGAAATACACATGTGAAATGTCTAACACCCTCGGCACTGAGAGAGGCAACGTGCGTCTCAGCGTAATGCCCACTCCCACCTGTGACTCCCCTCAGATGACCGCCTCGTCCTTAGACGATGACGGATGGGCCACCGTGGGTGTCGTGATCATAGCGGTGGTTTGCTGTGTGGTGGGCACATCGCTCGTGTGGGTGGTCATCATATACCACACAAGGCGGAGGAATGAAGATTGCAGCATTACCAACACAGGTGTGTAAACAGAAGCTTGGCACGGGGTGCCATAGTCATGTGTGTTTGTGGTCCTGTGGTAATTTTCTTCCAGAATGTGTGTCTCATAGCCCGAGGCCCTGTGAGAAGGGTGACTCATTTGCTTCAAGCTGCAGGAATATGGTTAGCTAAAAATAACACCCCAGCCCAAAATAAAGCCGATGTTTAAAGATTAATCCTTTTTTGTTAAAACCTTATCAGGAGATCCTGTTGGCTGTAGGATATAGTCCAAAACACGGAGTAAAACAGCCTCACTCCTTCACACACAGGTGATGGAGAATAGGAGCAGCCCTTCATTTACGAGGTTACTCTCTGACGTAGCTCTCTCTTGTCACATGTGTACCCGTGTGCATATGTGTGTGCAGGCGTCTAGGGAGGATTCTGTTACTAGTGGGAGGGGGCTGTGACTTGACTAATATGTGCAAACTCCTATATCGATAGATATTAAGTCAGAAATATGGCAGAAATCAAGCTTAATTCAAGAGCTTAGATACTACCCCATGAAAATTCCTAAGGCTCTATCTTTTGAATCATCTGTTTTTGACATTTGGGAGGGGCATCCAATAGAAGATAAGATAGAGAAGTGGCTTGTGCTTCCCAGAGCAGCAGAGCCCTCATCTTCCTTACCTGAAGACGAGACAGTCAAGGTGGGTTTTCAGGAGTAGATTTATTTGATTGGTACAGAAGCCAAAACAGTACATACTGTTCATCAGGGAAGGCTGTCGGGTATGTATGGTCATTCGTGGTTAACAGAATGCTGTTGTTGGATTTTAGATGAGACCAACTTGCCAGCAGATATCCCTAGTTACTTGTCATCTCAGGGAACCTTAGCCGACAGACAGGATGGGTACATCTCCTCAGAAAGTGGAAGCCACCACCAGTTTGTCACGTCTTCAGGAGGCGGGTTTTTCTTACCACAACATGACAGCAGTGGTAAGTGTTTAAAATGAACACAGGCTGTGGTTGTCTCGAAATAATCTGATGGAAGGCTCAAATACAGTATTAATTTTCACGAGCAATTGATACACTCGTCTATTAAGGAACTGGCCTAAGACCATTGGCAAAGCTGAAATTAAATACTGTTATGCCTTTTTCTTAAATATCAGAAAAATCTTTGTTTCTGATAATAAGAGAAGACAAGTGGGAGAATTAAGGTTTAATTTCTCCATGCAACGTGATACTTTCTTTATGCTATAAATGCTCTTTGGCCCTGAATGTTCCCCTTTCTTAAATGACATTAACTGGTTTCATGTATGGTCTTAAAAGTCAAATGACTTAAAACTCTATTAGAGAAATCAAATTCTGACTCTTGCTTTAAGAACTGCATGGTTTAAGAATAATCATGGAGGCACCGTAATACACGCACACAAGCTTGGTTCAAGACCTGCTTCTGACACTTAACTGTGTATCCTTGGGCAATTACATAGTACTTCCTTATTAGGTTGTGAAATTAAATAAAATGATGTTGGAAAACTGCATGGTGCTTGGCACATACTAAGGGCTCCAAAAGAGGAGACTATTGACATTCTCTTCAAGCATTTTACCATCTTTTTCCACAAGCATTTATTGAATATCTGCTCCATGGTGGACCCTGTAGTTGAGAGGGAAGAATATTTGTTTTCAGTCTCATAGTGTGGGCAGTAGTGAGATGAAAATTGCAACAAATAGTCACAAAGTGTTTGGCAAGGCAGTGACAGAGGGTGTAGAGATAGAAGATTTGCACATACAGGTGGGTGTTCTGGTTAGGCTCATTTGGTTGCAAGCTTGTTCAAATGTAGCAGGGTTTACTGAAAAGACATTTGGGAAAGTGTAAAGTGACAGAACTGGAACATAATGTGTTGTTTGGACGCTGGGGCTGGGGATCTGTCAGCTGTGAGCAGATCTAGGGGCCACCAGCCCTAGTGATCACGTCTTGCACAGCCCTTCTGGGACTGCCCGGTTCCCCTGCTTCCCAGGCACATGGCCCATCGCGGCATCTCTCACCTGCACTGCATCTCTCGTCCTTCAACTGCTGTGGCGACTCCTACCTGGCACATCATTTCTGGGTTGTTTGGCTTAGATACTCACAATAGTGGTTTTTTGTTTTTGGGGGGGGGGGGTTGTTTTTTGTTTTTTGTTTTTTTGGCCAAGCTCATCTTTGAGCTGGGCATTCAGAGATGATTTGTTGAATGCCACTTCCTGGTCCTGCTCATCTGAAGGGAGCAGTGCTGATGGCATTGTGTGTTTCGGACCATGGCCGCTTTAGCTGCAGTGTGCATATACAGATCAGTTTCTCTTGGAAGCCACTGGGGGGCAGCGCCCAGGTGAACGCATCCAGTACAATGGTTCATGGAGTCCCCTCTGTAAGATGGCACAGATTTAGTCAGTTACTAATCCATAGGCCTCAGTAAATGTTTAAAAACCCTACGATAAATTTCTCCAGTTTTTTCTTTTATATACTATTCTATCCAAAATTTTTATCTATAAATATGGGAAATCCCCCAAGTGGAGAGAATGTTGAAGGGTACTTGAATCAAGTCCATTCAGTGACTGAGATACCTGTTTTACAGGGACATGCCATATTGACAATAGTAGTGAAGCCGACGTGGAAGTTGCCACAGATCCGTTCCTTTGTCCCTTTTTGGGGTCCTCAGGCCCGGTGTATTTGAAGGGGAATATGTACGGCTCAGATCCGTTTGAAGCCTATCATACAGGTATGTGGTTTTCTTACCCGAGTTCTGTTCTGTTCCCTGGAGGGACTTCCAGAAGCCCTAAGTCTGTCTCTTTCTGATATTGTCCCCAAATTTAAAAGGTTGTGGCCCTGACCTGAGAACAGCCTTAATGGACCACTGTGAGCCCAGTTACATAAAGAAAAAGGAGTGCTACCCAAGTCCTTATCCTTCAGAAGAATCCTGTGAACAGAGTGTCAGTGACATAGGATGGCCTTCACACATGAGGAAGTTAATCAGCTCTACTTACTCTCAAAATGAAGGACCTGGAATGAGAAGTTTGTGTCTAAACAAGTCCTCTTTAGATTTTAGTCCAAGTCCAGAGCCAGCATCAGTTACTTTAAGTAATTCTTTCATGGGTAAGTTTATTAAATTATTAGACACCTTGACTCAGGATTCCTATTCCAAGTTGCATGTGGGAGAGCAATGAGTATAAAATGCCAAACTTGTGAAAAATGTTTGTTGTGGTTTTTTTTTTAATCATGTTGTCATGACATCCTATGAGTTAGCATACGTGTTCCTAAATGCAAAGTCAGACATGGGGGATTTTACTTGATTATGTGTTTAATCCGAAACTAAGCCTTAGGAGCTTTCTGGTTAGCTCTGTGTGTGGCATCATCTAGAAGAAAAGTTTTGGGAGTGACTTAGGAGCTCCATTTGTCAGCCATGTGGAAAAAGTGGTTTTGGTCTACAGCAGCTTTTGGGGTGGAGTTGTATGCGCTGCATGATTGTGGTTTGGGATGTCTGGTGGGTCACCCTTCGACCACAGTCCAAGGGTGGACAGTGTCCCACCTGGCAACAACCTCTTGTCAGCCAAGCTGGACGGCTTTGGTGGAGGAGACTGCCAGAACCTTAAAGCCCAAGTTGGTGGTAGTTAGACGCTGGCTAGCGCCAAGACTCGTCTGTGAATTTTTTTTGTCTAGTGCATGGGGATAACGGATGGAAGAACTGAGATCATCTTTTCACTGAATGGAGATATGGGAAAATGAACCACAAATTGTCTGGTTAAAAAAAGGGAATTTTAAAATATTTTATGCAGCTTTTAAGAAATTTTGTCACAGTATAATTATTTATATTCCCTTTTTTAAAAAATGAAAATATCTTTTATGTGACTGTGACAAGAATTTGAGTCAGTTAAATAATATTTTGCCAGTAAAGAAGAAAGGGCAAGACATAAGGATTATTTGGAAAGAAACTTTCCATATCCAGGCACAATTTACTTGGAACCAACAATCCAGATCTCCTTCGTAGAGAATTGTGGACTGTCAAGAACTAAAGCCAGGATTTGGAAGAAATAATATTGGGGAACTTCACTGCTCAATGATTACTATTACTCCAGGTGATGAAATATGATAAAGAGTGGGACATATGTATTCATTCCCCAGCTCCATTCTGTAAGTTCTTTCTCCGTAACATGGATGCACATACACCCGATACCATAAGTGACTTGTAGAAAACACTTAATCGTGCTTACAGGCTAAGATGCTTCTTCATTTGAAATGTGTTTTGATTTACATGCTAGCCAAAGGACCCATATGCTCAAGGGGTTTCTTTCTTACAGGAACATTTGGAAAGCCGCTGAAGAGAGCTCATCTGGATGCCTTTTCAAGCTTTGGACAGCCAGCGGATTGTCAGCCAAGAGCATTTCACCTGAAAGCTCGTTCTTCCCCAGACTTGGACTCTGAGTCAGAGGAATATGGGAAAGAAAGGACAGATTTTCAGCAAGAAAATCACACGTGTACCTATAAACAGACTTTAGAAAACCACAGGACTCCACATTTTCAGTCTTATGACTTGGACACATAGACTGAATGGGAGCAAAGAAGAGCTCGAACATACTACCTCAAGTGGACTTTTATTTAAAAGAGAGAATCCTATGTTTTTAAATGGAGTTATGAATTTTAAAAGGATACAGTGTCTTATTTATATAGATGGACCAAAATTACAAAAAATTATAAAAATTTTATACTGGGAGTAACTTTCATATAAGAATACCTTTTTAAACTATTTTAACTTTGTTTTATGCAAAAAAAAAAAAATCTTATGTAAATTAATGGTATGAATCCATGACTATTTTATGTATTTTTATAATGCCAGATTTCTTTTTATTGAAAACGAGTACTAAAGCATTTTAAATAATACCTGTCTTGTACCCTTTTTGAATAGAGTTCACTTAATTTTATTTTGCACATTGCATTTAATAAAATGTGTCATTTTGATCCCAAGCCCCATCTATACAATTACAGTTATTATTGTTTTCAACACATTTTAGGCTTAATAATTTCATATTATCATGTCTCAAATTGATGGAAATTATACTCAGCACATTAAAATATGAGTGAAAAAATGACCTTTCTGCCTAACACACAGGGTTGAGGTAATACGGACTCAAATCAGATGAGTATATGTGAAAGCACATTGCAAATGAAGAAGAGCTACAAAGATTAGAGGTGCATTAATTTATCCCTAACTTTACAAATAAAAAAAGATTTGTTGGTATAATCTGGTATAATGTAGCACAGCCACCATTGCTTAAATCACTGTTCAAAGCATCTTTCTTTAATTATAATAATGCCTATGTGGTCTAATGCCTTGTGCTTTTCCAAATAGTTTCACATTCACCATCCCTTTAATTATAACAAGAGCGTAGTTTATTGCACATTTCTATAGTTAAAATGGCTATAACAGGTGCATTTTCATCTGTTGCAGGTGATAATGGGATGTTGATGGAATTCTTGGCTATTCTTACTGATTTTCTGCTAGATGAGCAGTTCTAATAGAAAAGATACTTTTAAACTATTCTGCAACATTCTTTAAGAATCAAAATATTTTTCGAATTTGGTCATCCTGCTCTACTTGTTAAAAACTAAGTACCAAATCTGTTACTTAAGCTATTTAAAATATTTGTTTTAAACAGTATTTAGATGAAATTGGCATTACATGACTGGCATATATACACACAGAAAATGAATACAGTCATTTTTAAAATTAAGTGACATTGTTTCAAGTAATAGACATAAACAAGTTTAATAATTCAACTGTTTTGTTTTTTTTTTCTTTAAGCAAATTCTTGTCTACATCTGTAGTTTAAAGACAAATCTTCTTGGCCAAGAGAAATTAAATATGAGTGGGAAGAGTTAACATCGCACATTAAGCTTTAAAATCTAACGTGATGAAGGTGTGAATTTATGCCATTGTCAGTTCTTTGAACTAAAGTGAAAGCAGATATTAGAAAAGCGGGTTCCTCTCAGGTGTCGTTTTCCTGCTTTGTGAGTGTACGGCCTTGTTGTTTGTGAGCCAGAAACCTGGAACCCAGATTGCAGTAAGATTTTCCTCCTTTGATATGGACACCAGAGTCCAGGAAGTTGATCCTTCCCTGAACCACAAGTGACTAAGTGCAGAGAAATGATTTTGTATGCTGTGGCTTTATCATCTTGCCAGATTTTCAAAATCTTACTGTTAATTTGTCTTCATTATTGCCAGATGTGATGCAAGCATTGATAGGGTTCTATTCAATGATTTTGAACCTATTTTAAAGAATTTAATTTTTCCGGACTTAGCCACAAAGGTTTAAATCATTAGCACTTGAAATTCAAAAATTAGATTCACCCTACATTAATACGACGTTTCCCTTTCACTCTGTGTGCTGAAACCTATGGATTACATAGAATTTTAGCTGTATGGAGAAACAGGAGGAGCTCAATTTTTCACTGACGTTTGCAGGAAAATAATATATATATGATATTGAGACTCCATATTAAAATGGAGTCTACTCCATTTTATCTAGTAGGTATTAAAATAACAATATGGACTTCAGAAAAAATATCAAATCATTTGGCTTATTTATGAGAAGAAATGCTTAAAATTTTCAATTTAATCTTTCTCTGCTTTCTGATAAAAACCAATTCATGTACAATGTATCTTAATAGATATTCGCCCAACTTTGGCACTGTTTTTTCTTCATTACTAACGCTAATGATAACATTGTTACTAGGTATAATCTTGTCTGTTTTTTAAGATATTGGGAGACGAATATTCCTTAATTGTGGCAGGCAGAATTTTATAAAATATAATCTCTGGAACATTAACAAACTTATTTTCATAGTCTTCTTACAGAAAGAAACCAAAAGTTATTTCTCAGAATAAAGCCAATGGTACTATTTTTAAAAACTTGATACAAAAAAAAAGAAAGTGCCTTGGTGTTTGTACACACCTGAGGGGTTTTGGTCTTTTTGATTTAATGTGATAGGAAGTAATTCATAACCAATATTACAATAGATGTGGTATTTTTCAAAGTGAATGAGAACCAAATGTTACCGCAGAGCGCCCTTTCTGTGCCTCCCACTCTTGGAATCTGCAGTGGTCAGACTTGTGTAATACGATAATTTAGAACTCATTATTTTTTAAGACAGCATTCTATTAACACATTGAATAACTCAGTGTCCTGCCAAAAAAACTATTAGAGTCTTCAAAGAGGGGTACAGTTTCCTCATGAATTGAATAATTTCAATATTCTAGAAATATCCAGTTACCAGAATTTATCTTTTCCATGAGGTATTTCTTAAACTAATGTATAAAAAGAAAGTTCTGAAAGAATCTCAAGAGGTTTTAGATTTGTCCAAAAATGGCACAGAGGTACTTCAGTTGGGATTTTCTTTTAAGAGAAAAGAGGGTTTGCCAACATATATTTACTGAGTTATCCCAATATTTGGGGTAATTTGTTGGGGTTTTTTTTTTTGAGAAATCTGATAGTGATGGGTGTCTTTTAATAAAGATGTTTGATTTTACTTGAAATATATTACCAAGATAAAAAACATGAAAGTCTATATTATAGATTGAAATGTGTACAATTTCTCAAATTCTCACTGCTATAAAAATTGCAAGTTAATTTCTTATTCTTATTTAGTGTCAAGGGTCTGAATTCTGTATCCTCCCATATAATGATTGATATCCATGAACACAGAAATTATAACCAGTATTCACTTGTAGCTTTTTATTAGAATTAGATTTTTTAATTAAAGAATTTTTGAGAATTCCTTTTAAGGAATAAGGCAAAGCAATTCACAACTTACAATTTCACTCTTGTATTGCTATAATTTTCTCATATCTTTATTGGGTTTAATGGTTGATTTTGGCTTTCGACAAGTTTAACTTTTTTTAAATCCTGTTTGAACATAACACCTAATGCCTTCATGAGATTATTGCCATTGTTTTGGTAGTCACTTTGATGCTTCTACATATGGTTTGTTTTGATCTATCTACTGCTCGGAACTGACATATGATAGCACACTATCAGTTGTCAAACATTTCATATATACTTAGTTGTATATTTTGAATAGGTGATATAGGAACAAGTAAAATGATCCTTGTCCTAATGATCAGTGGGACAGGAATCAGGCTCATAAATATTTATAGTACACTGTGTTAAGTGCTATAGCTTAGTAGGGCCCCTGAAACTGACACTAATTTTGTCTCTAATTCTAATTGAACTACCTAGAAGTGTTACATGCACTTCACTCCGCATGTCCTAGAACAAGTCGATTATCTGGATTTTTCCATCTGCATCCCAGAACAGTTGCCATTCTGGTACTCCCTTCCATGCTTAATTATGAGTAACCACCACTCCTGTGGATTTGGCACCTGAATGTCCTCAAGATTGTTTATGCCTCCCTTCTTAGCCCATTGCCACAGATAAGTTCAGACCCTTATCTGTCTCTTGCATCAGTGTCTTGTCCTTTGTCTCTCTCTTACCCAATTCATTGTTTCACAGAATTATTTTTCTAAAATAGATCTGAATTTGTCACTTTCCTGTTTAAAAACCACTGATGGCTACGATTGAAATCCCAGTTTGGTGTATAGGACCTTTCACTCATTGATCCAGCCCACCCTTCAAGCCATACCCCATATGTAACCCCCAACCCCCCAACTGTTCACCGTACAGAACAGTACCCCTGACCAGCCCCTATGCACCTCTGTGACTTTATGCTGACCTATGTGCAGCTCAAAGTTGAAATTTGGCAAAAGCACACTTGTCCTTGTGCATATTTTCTCATTTTTGTTTTAGCAAACACTTTTTTGAGTATCTACTGTGCTAGATCCTCTTAGATGTTTGGGCTATTAAGAAATACTAAAATATTCTTAAATTTTCTTCCCCAAAGAAACTCCTAGACACATGATAAATTATTGCCCTGAAATGTTTTTTTTTTTCTTTGTTAGAATCCAGAAACTTGGAAAAGCAAACTTTTCTTTTTTGCCCCGCACATAGCAATGATTTCCCATAGAACTTTATATGAACTGTCATGAGAAAGTCAGAGGGAAGCTGTTAGGTACAAAGCCAGCTGAGATGTCACTGTATGAGAAATACTAAGAACGGTTAACCTGTATGCCAATAGGACATCTAGGAAGAAATAAAGGAAGTCAAAAGATCTGTATTTTTTTTAAACGATCACCAGATGATATGGCCTAACAGTCAGTAGGAATATCAATTCCTGTTCAGTTTACTAAAAGTAAACAGACGGCCAGGTGTGTCAACAGATTTTTTTTTTTTTTTTTTTTTTTTTTGGTTGGTTGGAACTGCATGTATCGCTGCCCAGCTACCAGGTATTTCTCAGTCACCTTGCATTTAGGTGCATCTGTAGCCGTGTGACTTCTTGCCCCAGTGGAATGTGAACAGAGGTGTAAAGTGCTGCGTTCAAGCCCGGTCCACAAAACCTTTACACACACCCTTCCATGTCCTTTTCCTGCAGCTACCTGATTGGAAAGCCATAGCCCAGAGCTACTCTTTCTTGACCTCACTTGAAGAGACTGGGTCTCTGAACAACTATATGGAATATGGTCTCCCCCCTAAACCCAGAGTATTTGCTTTGAAGCCTAACTTAATGTAAGTGAGGAAAAATTGTTTATTGCACTTGAACATTGTATTTTGAGTGTACTTAAAACAGCTTGTCCCGCCCCAACTTGAAATAGTAATTTTATTGTGAAGAACTGCCCAAGATTCTTATTGACTTTGTTCTTCATTAATTTCTAAAGCTCCCTTTTAAAAATGAACGGTTTGGCCTCAATGAGCAGCCCCAACACAGATGCCAGGACCTGGGTTCCACTGTTGCTGTAGTTCACTAAGCCTTTGACCCCACTAGCATTTACTGAATATCCTCTTGCAGTAGTACATCCTGCAGCTGTTACAATGTCCTATTTCCATCCCAACTGTGGATACAGTTTTAAAAGAGGCT